CCCACCCAAAACCCAATGGCCCTGCCTAAAAACCCACCCAAAAACAATGGCCCTGCCTAAAAACCCACCCAAAACCAACGGCCCTGCCTAAAAACCCACCCAAAACCAACGGCCCTGCCTGAAAACCCACCCAAAAACCAACGGCCCTGCCTAAAAACCCACCCAAAAACAATGGCCCTGCCTGAAAACCCACCCAAAAACAACGGCCCTGCCTAAACCCCCCCCAAATCCTCTTCAGGTGCCAACTGATGTGTCCTGAAACTGGTTCATCCCCCCCTCTGGCCACCGTGTCCCAGGAGGGGCTGGATTTCCTCCCCAGGGATATTTTTAAGTCCAAGAGCTGAACACCTCTCAGGTGGTGGGAGCTGAGCGAGGCTGAGCACTCCCAGCTCGCTGGGCCCTCCGGAAAAGACAGAATTTCCTTCACAAAGTGAGAACTGGGGGCATTTGGGAGCTGGAAGTTCGTGGCTACGTTCCACTCCCTCCCTGCCTGCCCATTATCCCCCTGATTTACTCATTTCTCTGTGCCCGGGAGTGTTATTTTGGGATGCTCCAGGGGTCAGACCCAGTTTCCCCATGAATTCTGTGCTAAGCACTGACCTTGCACTTAACAAATCTCCCTAACCAGGGGCTGGATCTATTAAGCCTGAGCCCAGGGAAGAGGAAAACCCGGCGCGAAGCCGAGGTGTGAAACGGGCGGGAGGGAGGGAACCGCCCGCCCGGCTTTTCCTGCCCGGGGTTGTTCCTGCTGCCCCACCCGATCCCTTACTTGTTCTTGAAGTCCTCCACCATGTCCTGCATGTTCCTGAGCTCGGAGTCCAGGCGGCCCCGCTCGCCCACCAGGCTGTCGAGCTGCCTCCGCAGGTTGCCGATGTAGGCTTCGAACAGGGGCTCCAGGGACTTCCTGGTGACCGTGTGCCCCTGCTCCTGGAGGAGGCTCCACTTGGTCTCCAGCACCTTGTTCTGCTGCTCCAAAAAGCGAACCTGGCGAGGGACAAAAAAAAAAACAACCATCACGGGGATGTGTTGTTGAAACCCAAGGCACCAAAACACCCCCCCAACTCAACGGCCGGGAAAAGGTGGGATCGTCAACACCTCTGGTGGCCTTGGAAGGTCAAGGGATACGGGGACAGTCTGGCCAAAATTATTGGGAACATCCTTATTTCAGGTTCTCAGAAGTACCAGAAGCCTCTGGAGATGTTTAGAGGGAACTTTTGCAGAGTTTAGATCAGACCAAACACCCGTATTTGCGATTTTAGGTGTTTCTCCCCTCACCGGGTGCTCAGCCCACCTTACTGGTGTCATCCCACCGTAGAGCTGGTGTTATTCCATTGCTGGAATTTTACAACCAGGAGAAGATCCATCCAACCCCCGGGGACGTGTTTTACGGGGAGAAGGGGGAATTACTGTGCCAAGGAAAGGAAGGTGCTGAGCAGCTCATCCTCGCCGAGAGGAAACATCAGACGGGTCTTTAGTTTCCAGCCAAGCCCCGCCGTTTGCCGGCCGGGATCCGTCCAGGCAAGTCCCCGGATCCAAGGGAAGTTTCTTCCTGAAGTTTTTTTCCCGAGGCGGCCGAAAACCAGCCCGGCCCGCCGGGCAGCAGCGAGCTCTCACCTTGTCGATGAAGGAGGCGAACTTGTTGTTGAGGGTCTTGATCTGCTCCCGCTCCTGCGTCCGCACCTTCTGGATCTCGGGGTCGATGTCGAGCTTCAGGGGGGCCAGCAGGCTCTGGTTCACCGTCACCTCGTGGATGCCGCCGGGGGGGCACACGGGGAACCCGGGGCCGCTTCGGCCGCCGAATCCGGGACCTCCCAGCCCGAATCCGCTTCCCAGCCCGTAACCGCCACCGGCACCGGCTCCTCCTAAGCCAAAAGTGGCTCCACCGCCACCGTAGCCCAGCCCGAAGCCGGCGCCGCCGCCGAAGCCGAATCCGCCACCGGCTCCGCTCCGGAGCCCCCCGATGGAGATCCTTTTGCTTCCACCCATGTTGTAGAGGCTCCTGCTGCCGAAGCCACCGCCGGCTCCGAAGCCTCCTCCGCCTCCGGCTCTTCCTCCCCCGACTCTGGAGACGGAGACGGAGCTGAAGCTGCTCCTGGTGCCCCCGCCGCCGCCTCCCACGATGGCAGAGCCCGAGCTGAAGCCCCTCATGCCCCCTCCGGTGGATGATCGGAAAGAGATCCGGCTCATGGTGGCTGCAGACGCAAAGAGCAGGGGAAAAAAAAGGGCCGGAGAACCGAAGCTGCGCGGCAGGAAAAGAGCAGAGGGCGAGGGAGGCAGAAACCCCTGTGATGGGAGAGCTCGGGAGCCTCCTCTTTTATCTGCTTGGAAAACTTGGCACGGGGATTCGGGACTTGATGTGCCTTGCAGCGACTTGCCTTGTCCAACACACCTCGGCTGCGGGAGGCGCTGAAAAATGCATTGTTTGCAGGCAGGGAAGTAACGGGCAGAGGGAGCTCCCCACCCCCCCAGCGCCTCTGAGTCATGGAATCAGAATTGAATGGGACCGGGGGCAGGATCCGACACGATTCCCGGGACCCTGGGAGCCGCTCTCCCTCAAGGGCTTGAGCAAGATCCCTCGCCCCGAAGGTTTTGCAAGTGGGGTTTTGGGGTGGGACGCGTTTCGTAAGCGGCAGAAATCGGGGCTTTTCCAAGGTTTCCAGCTCCGGGGCTGGACTTGGGTCTCCCA